CCTTAATAGATCCTTTAATACAAAAAAAGTTCAAAAGATAAATTGAAATCTCTGAATAGAGAAATTAGCAAAGAAGAGATTAGTAATGTGATTTGTAGATTAGATAAGACCAAAGCACCAGTTCCAGATGGATTCTCTAATGCATTTTATAAATATTTTCAAAAAATAATTATTCCCCATTTAAAAGCGATGTTTAATGAAATAGCTGGGAAAAGTAAGTCATCAGCGTTATTTAGATAGTTTTTAATTAAAATCTCTGGGATTTCAGCTGCCGAATTATATAACCTTTCATAGTATAATTTAAATGAATTTAATATATCTATTGGTTTGGAAAAAATATCACCAATTTTTAGTTTTTTCAGTTTCTTCGACATTCGATCTACTTTATTATTTCGATAGTAGAATTTAATTTTTAATTTACGTATATTACATTCTATTCTAGCCGATATATTGTGATTAATTCTGTGTCTATATTCTTTTAGCAAACTAATGTTTCCTGTAGAAAAAATTGTTTTATTTTCAGTTGAAAGGTTAAAATATTTGATATAGAGGTCAGATAAGTTAATTCCTCTCTTGCGTCTTTCCTGACAAGCCAATTTGATCCATTATCCTCTAGTTACTACTTTGTACATATTTCAGAGGCATTCAGAAGAAATTTCCGCTAAAGCATTATCTTTGAAAAACAAATCTGACATCTTCTCTATGTACTCCGTTTTATCTTTTGAATCCAATAGGGTATCATTCAATCTCCATGCTGGAGATGACCGTCTATATATTTATTTTAATTCAACCATTAAAAAATAATGGTCAGACCATGTATTATCTCTAGTAATAATATTTTTGATAGAGTTCACTAAATCATGATTCCCCATTACCATATCGATTCTGGCTGCTGACTCATAATGAATAGATCTATGGGTAAAAGTATTTTCTCCTGGATGAGACAGTGGTCAGCAATCATATTTCTTTAATTAATCTATTCAACGATACTGCTTGTTTTACTACATTTCTATATCTAATCTGCCCGGAACTCACAAACATATCCCAGACAGAGTCTGCCACACAATTAAAATCACCCGCTATCAACAAGGTTCCTTTATGGATTGGTTCTATCAATTTGAGGACTTTTGCTAGTAATCTTGTAGGTGCCTTGTTTGGTAAATAGACATTAACTTGCATATAATCTAGCACGTTCATTTGCCCTATTAAAATAATACATCTCCCTTCCTGATTTAACATTTTATATTAAAAATAAAATTGCACTTATTTGGAAAAAAATATTGCTACTCCGCATTTCTTTTTTTTTCTTTGAAGCGATAGAAACTATAGGGAATTTATTACATTTCCATAATTGCCTATGCTCATGAACCCAATGTGTCTCTTGTACAAAACACACTTGTGCCATCTTGTTCTTCTTTTCTTGCATGTCTTGGAGCTGTCTTCTTCTCTGTTCTTCCATCTGTTCCAGATTTTGAATTCTCTGATTAAGAGACAGGATATCTGATTTAAGAACTATAAATGTATTATTTATTTCGCTTTTGAGATCTTTGAGTACTATATTGAGACATTCTTTTAGGAAGCTTGTAGAGGCAGTGCCACTTTTTGCTTCATGAGGCTGTGTTCTTTGAGGTAGTGTCAGAGATGTTTCTGCATATTTTTTTCCACTGTTTCAGAATCTTGTATAGAAAAACATTATGAAAGCCTTTTTTTTATTGTTTTTGTCCCTTTGTTTCTGATTTTTAAAGTTGGATTTATTTTCTTGCATTCTCTTGGATGCCATATTTATCCCCCTTTTTAAAAAATTTTTATTAGAATTACAGCTCTTGTCCTTTGTAATAATTATAACAGAGTTAATAATAGTGCTGTTACTTTGGTTCTGTTTTGGTTTGTTTCCTTAATATATCACACTTTGAGGAGGATATGCCTATAGATATTCTACTTTTTAGGTAGTGTCTCATTAACTTAATCCCTTTATTAGTTTCAGGACGTCTTTCACTTTTTTTGTGCTTTTAACTTTAGCCCACAAGTGATATGGTAAAACATGTGCAAAACTATAAAACTAAAGTGCTGTGATTTTTTATTTTTTTTTGCAATATACTAGAAAATAAGCACATTCCACCTTCTGCAGAAATGAACAAAGCTTTTATTTCCATGATTTCACAGCAACAAAAATGCAATTATTACACATTCTGGGGACATGCAGATATTCGCAGAGCATGTTTGATAAAACACGTTAAGCCTTTCATTTCTTCTCACAATCACTTTATTTACTCAGTTATCTTTGAAATGTAGGTTAATCACAGGTAGATAGCATGTGATTATTTTATACTTACTTCACTGCATTTTTTTCTGGTGTCTCGACCTTTGTCTGCTGACCTAGTTTCAAATATTGTGGGACATACAGTACCATCGGGGTTCTTCATGGTCCTCAGTAGCAAAATGTCTCTTCGGTGCACTTATTACATGCAGGTAATTTGTGTCTTTTTTTCTCAAAAAAATAATTTTACCTCAAGATTCTATGTCTCTTCAAAGCCTTGCAAGTTCTATTATCCCGCATACCTGGAATGTTCACAACATCACACCTCTTGTACCTAGGACAGCTGCAAGTGCTTGTGGTAAGAGTCTATTTAGAATGGTTCAAGGCTAGTTTGATATTCAGTTTAGGGTTTCTTGAATGCATTTTATTTCTGGTATTGAAACCCTAGTATGGCAAAACTACTAGTTTTTCCCCATGATTGTCGTCCATGTACACCACCACTTCACATGATTGCCCATCTAAAAACTTGCATAAATGTATGTCTCCTAGAGCAGTGGTCTCCAACCCAGTCCTCCTGGCCCACCAACAGTCCAGGTTTTGTCAGTATTGCCACTGAAATAAACAAGGGAAATCAAAATCCTGGATTGTTGGTGGGCCATGAGTACTGGGTGTAGACAACTGTCCAATAGGGGACTACATGACATAATTTGGTTGATTTTAATTTTTAATTTTAATTTTTAATTTTTTAATTTTAATTTTTTTATCAGTATTATTTTTACTTATCCATTCATTTCCACCATCAGTGGGAGGGGGATACATTTAACACATTGCACCTTGTATGCTCCACCGTTCCTCTACAGTACTCCTACTCTTCTTAATGAATTAGGTGTGTGAGATGTCTAATTACACTTACAAGTTCTGAATGGTAATATGTCTAATTATGTTTGTAATTACATACAAAAAGTGAAAATGGAATTAATATATGTAAAAGAAAACGGATTTAAAAAAAAATACAAACAACTGCAAACCACTAATATTCGCTACTCACAACATATAACTTACATATAAATATAGATTTAAAAGCTTATATTGCCCCAAAGATCCTATATCTATTTAGAGCTATTCAGTTGCAGATTCCTTTGAACCTGTTAAAACAATCTAATATTTTATTTTCTACGTTTGTCTGGGCTGCTAAAAAAAACAAGAGTTCCAGGAGAATTATTGAAGAGAAACTTAAAAGACGATTGAGCTTTCCAGATCTGCCGTAATTGCATGAGGCGTATCTATCTGTTGTCTCATATGTTTGCTTTCAATATAAAGAGGTAAAATAAATCCCACAGTACAATATTAAAAGGTTTGGATGTAAGAGTTATAATCCTTTTTTATTCCTTTTGGTATCTCAAAAAAAGCTTGAGAAACTTAATATTATGGGTAAAGTGGTCAGATATATTATGTAATAAAATAAAATAAAAAAACTAATTAAAATAATGAAATTATATTTCCCCTGTAACTCCAGTTGAAATTATTAAAATTCTATCTTTGGAGGGCGATATGGAGAAAGCAAGGTATATACTTAAATGGAAAAGGATATTACTTGTCGATATCCTATACAGACATGGTTTAAGGCCTGGCAAAAATACAAGGAAAGCTACTCTGTATTAGTTTACAGGAATGGTACCTAGTTCACACTCATCAGATTTATGTTGGCACTGCCATATCAAGAACCCATTTCCATATTTGGTGGGAATATGGACTGTTGGTAAACCTTAAGTTTAAAATAACCACCTTAAGGTGTGCCAACAGTCCATCAGATGCATCTTCTAAATATTTTTGTATTATTATATTATTAGCTTTTAAGCTTTGTATAGCTAGATATTGGAAGAGACAAAAAAGTCTGTGCTGGTCCAAGACATTGGCTCAAATGGTATATCAAGCCTCAGAAAATATTATTTTTTTCATTGCTGGTTCTCTATGCCACCTAATATCTGTCCTGTAGATATATAAATCAAAATATTAATTATAGGTTTTCTTGGCCCCTTCATTTTGGAGACTATTATAACAAATCAGTTAATACGCATTAATCTGAACAGATTTGCTGTGAGTTGCTTTGCTGTTTTTTTATCTTTTTGTAATGATTTTATATTTCTATACATGTAACATATCACTATTTTGAAATTTACTGTGGAAGAAGTATAGCTTTATATTGTCTAAAAATCTTAATAAAGAATTATAAATTTAAAATTAAAAAAAAACAACATAAGACACTCATATATTGTAAATGTTAAAGTTACAAGAAACTTCATGTGTGAATGGGATAAGGGAGGGGAAAAAAGAGCTGAAAAGAGAGGGAAGTAACCCAAGTGGATTTATTTTCCATCGTTGTCATCTGTTCACCAGATTCACTTACAGAGAGAGAATCCAAAACCATGTTTAATAACCTAATACTAGCTTACAACGAACAGTTTCTAGGTACTTCCAGATGACTTCATAAAATGCTTTATCCGTATTGGTGGATATGAGCAAGTCCTTTTGTGAACAGTAATAAGAACAGTATTTTCATTGGCTTTATAGACTGACACAAGTGTCACCTGGTCAGGATGAATTAAATTATCAAGAAGAAAATGTATTTGCCAGGATTTTGAAAAACATTTCATACCTACACTTAATGATCATATGTGTCGATAATTGTTGCATTAAAGGATGGATCTTTGTCAGGTTTAAAAACTGCAATTATAGAAAACATTTTTTGTTTAATGATATAATTGGGAGAGTTTTCACTTCCACATTTCTTTGCAAATTCAATTCAATCTGAATGGCAGTGATTGGCTGAGAATGCTGGTTTATCCATTCCTACCTCCAGTACTACGAGCATACCACTGAAATGCAGATTGGACAAAATAAATACAGATCATTTGAAAGTGAAGTATTGATGAGTTGGAGGAGATGGAGGTCTCTTAGCATCAGAAAAAGCACATTTTTTTTTGCCAAACGGCTCCCAAAGAAACTGTCAAAAAACTGGGTGCCCGGAAACGTATAATAACAATCTAAATTAATATCATCGCTACCCTATATGTTGCAATGTTCATTAAGTACTGTACATTTAATTGGGGTGAAAATGGGGTGAAATGTGGTCTTACACATTATACCTTGGAGTAAAACATGCAATGTATGATGCACTCTTTCAGAGATTACTTATTAAATTACTATAAAGTGTGGACTATGTGGCAAGAAGTTTGATTTTAAGGGGTTATGTTCAGTCACATAATTTACAGACAGCATTCTAAAGTTCTTGTTGTATAACTTTACTTGATAAATATCATTTTTCCTTACTTCCACTATTTTTCATTTATTTTAATGTTTTGCTTTTTTCCTTCTGTACATGAAGAGATTGTCAAATGTGACCCAATAGACATCTTTGCTTTTTCCATGCACTGTCAATGTCTTTTTATTGTCTTACATTGTTGGTTGATTAGTGGTATCTGTACTTGGCAGTTGTTCTAAGTATAAGAGTGGTGAGAATTAACCCGTTAATAATAAGGTTAGTAAAAAATTAACCTGAAAGATATTAGAGGGTCAAAGCCCAAAGAGAACTTAAATAGACATAGTGCATTGGCAGACAACACTATAAGAGCTAATAATTAAATGTAATTAGTTGAGTGGTTGAGAGACCAACCCATTTCTATAGAGGAGTAACGAATATGACTGTATTACCTGAAGTACAGGGAAAGTTGTATTCTGCAATTGCATATTCCCAGTGGAAAGGAAGAAAAAAAAAAAACAATGCATCATTTAATATTCATCATTGATTTTTGTTTTTTGTGGGTTCTCTTATTGTTTGTGGAGATTTCAAGTTACAGGTAGACCCAAGTGTGCACAGGAAATCCTTAGTGGAGTCTAACCCCGACCCCTACTTAGCTCAAAATTCTAAAAAATTCTATAAGCTATTGGTAAAATATAGACTCTATGACACTTGGAGAATCTTACATCCCTCAGAGAGAGATTACTCTTTCTTTTCACTCAGGCACAAATTATATAGTGGGCTTGACTACATCTTTGTCGATCTTGGCTGTTTACATAGCGTAAAGGAAGCAGAAATAAGTCCCATTGTATGGTCCGATCATGGGTTGGCCACAGTGACTTTGGGCACATCATAGAGGCTGGATAAAGAGCTCCTGAGGATACCTTGATTCTAGAGAAACTAAAGGAAGAACTAAGATTATTCTTCCAAATTAATGATGGCTCAGTACATTCTAAAGGAATAGTTTGGTTAACTCATAAAGCATATTTAAAGGGGATCATTGATAAATTGGCAAGCACAAAATAAGAAACAGAGAGGTAAAACTCTAAGAGAGCTCCACATTGAGCTAAGTAAGCTGGATAGACATAATAAAAATACTCCAAGCATTATAACTATGACTAAAATTAAGGAGATACTGTAACTGCAGCTGGTTCCCTTATTTACCACTATAACGTCTTAAAGCATAGAACTTAGCAGGGCTAACCATACAGATATCTTAGCCATAATTTTATTTAGTTAGTAAGAGACCCTCTATTTAAAATATATAAATAATCGAGAATACAATATAAAATAAGGATTGTCTTGGAAGCAATAAAGTTTTGTCTTTTTAGATATTTACTATGTAAAAATATAAATATAGACATATAAAATCTATTGCAATAATTTATAGCAGAGTTTATAATAATAAACTAGATGCTTGCAAATAACATTTTAAATAGAATAACATACCCTCTTGAATATGTCGACATCTCTCAGTCGTTATAATATGGAGCGACAGTGTCTCTGTCTCCAAATCTCTCCTCTGTCCCTTAACATTCAAAAGGTACACATATTTATATTTTAGATGTTCATTTTAGGACCTCACTTATCTTGGCAAAGATACTAGGCCATAGCTAAAACATAAGTGCACACGTCATGGAAAATTCCTTGACTTGGGACAAGATGGCTTCCTAAAGTCTGATGACGTAGCATAGCCATGAAGATGTTATTATGCTAAGACAAATTGGTGTAAACATATTATGCACTGAAAGTAGGTTAGAGGTTATTTCTTTAAGAAACATGTATGAAAAACAATATGTTCCATATCTGACACCTTGTCAGTTTGCAATATCTCTTATAGACAAAGTACCCAGTTTAAGAAATACAACATTTCTTTCTAAAACTTGTAATATTTGCATTTGCCCAGAACAATTATTAATGCCCATAACATAATAATTACAAATAAAAACTATACAGCAGAACCTGGTTGCTAAGTACATCTTGACAATGTCTCTATCACTGTGGTAATAGGGCAGGAAGAATGTTGGTAAATAAGCTAAAATGAAAAGCAATAAACAATAGAATAGATATGTTAACTCATAACAACTAATGCTTTTTAAGCCCAAAAGATATAGCTAAGACCTTTGAGAAATATTATTATGATTTGTATAATTTAAATTTAAATAAAACTGATCAATCCATAAAAAAAGGAATATTCTGAATTTTTTTGGACAAAATTCATCTTCCCAAAATTTCACAAGTAGAGATGGTAACTTTAAACAAATAAATAACCGAACAAGAAGTTGTTTGGGCAATCTCAAAATTGCCCCTGACCAAATGGGCTTTATACAAGGCAGACTGGGACCTGACAATATAAGGAAACTTTTGAATATAATTTCATATTTGAATCATAAAAAAATATGGCCCTCGATGCAGAAAAAAGCATTTGACAGAGTGGAGTGGGACTTTATGTAGCTCACCTTGTCAAAATATGGCATAGGCAAATTTCACCTCTAAAGCAATTAGTGCTTCATATGTTAATCCATCTGCAAGAGTTACTGGCCAAGGATTTTACTTTGATAAATTTGCACCAGACAGGGGTATCTGTTATCCCCACTGATGTTCGTATTGCTTATCGAATCCTTAGCAACAGCTGTGAGGGAATCAGAGCAAGTACATGGTATTGAGATAAATCAGAAACAACACGTGATCTCTTTATATGCTGACAACGTAATAATAACCATGGAAAAGCCAGAAAAATCATTGAAAGCTTTACAAGAAATTATTAAAAATACAGTGAGATATCCAATTATATATTAAATCTAAAGAAATCTGAAGCTATGACCTTCAATATTGTAAAAAATAAGTTGGTGTCAATTGTTGCATTATACCCATTTAAATGGCAACAATCGATAAACCATTAGGTATTACCATATTCATGGATATAAAAAAAAAGTAATTAAATTTAACTAAATTTAACTATCAAAAAGCTCATATAAATATAATTGAGACTATAGCTAATTGGAAACATGTAAACATCTCCTGGTTTAGGAGAATTATGGCCATCAAGATGACTAGAATACCAAAGATTGCTTATATAATGCGGTGTATTCCAATTCAATGCCCCATGTATATTATCAATTAACTGCAGAGAGTAATAGATTAATTTATTCACCAGAATAAAAATATGCGTATTAAAAGATCTGGTATGTTTAATACATTTTGTGGAGGAGGAATAGCGTATCTAGATATTAAGAAATATCAAGAAGCCACTTTATTAGCCCATATAATAATATGGACGGAGAAGGGAAAATGTAATAACTGGTCCCAGATAGAGAACTATTCCCTCATTGAAAGTAACACAAACTTAATTCTCTTTCAAGAGCAAATTCTTTTTAATTAATTTAAATATAAAGACTCTGTAACTTGGAAAAATTCAAGATGGTCTAAACTGAATACTAAATATACATTAATTCCCTTCCCGAGTTTGATTATACTGCTTCTGTTGTTGAAGAGATGGTTCAGTTCTCCTTTGCTTAATCTACTAATAGCAGAAGACTGCACATTAGTGATGTTGCGAACATAAAATTTTCGGTTCGCGAACGCAAACATCCGCAAATGTTCGCGAACAGGCGAACCGGGTGAACCACCATAGACTTCAATAGGCAGGCAAATTTTAAAACCCTCAGGGTGCTAGATGAGCGTGAAGAGGAAGAGGAAGAGTTGTGGTCACCATCACCACCAGAAACAATGCTGGAAGAGGAGTCAGAGTAGGAATGTGGCTTTGTATTTTTTTTTTTTTAAATGTACACTACTGTTACACCAGATATGAGTTGCACCATCACCACCAGAAACAACGCTGGAAGAGGATTGTGAGGAAGAGGAGTCAGAGGAGGAATGTAGCTTTGCATTTTTTTTTTAAATGTACACTACTGTTACACCAGATATGAGTTGCACTGGTGTGACACTGTACCCTGGCAGGCCCTGAAATGCACACGCATGAAGGAAACTGACTGCTATTATATTACAGTCCAAAAAGTTTTGCTTTTTTTTAAATGCAAGCTATTGTGACACCAGTGAGTGAGTGGTGGCACTGGGAAGGCCCTGAAACGCACACTCATGAAGGAAACTGACTGCTATTATATTACAGTCCAAAAAGTTTTTTTTTTTTTTTAAATGCAAGCTATTGGGACACCAGTGAGTGAGTGGTGGCACTGGGCAAGTGGGCACAGTATATGCTCTGAGCCTGACACACAGGCTGGCAGGCAGGCAACTGCAATTACATTACAAAGAAAAAAAAAAGCAGACTGATGTTCTAGCCCTAAAAAAGGCTTTTTGGGGTGCTGTCCTTACAGCAGAGATCAGATGAGTCCTTCAGGACTGTGGTGGACACTGAATACACTAGCCTAGCTATTAATTTCCCTATCAAATCAGCAGCAGCTACACTGTCCCTCCTCTCACTAAGAATGCAGCTTCACAATGAATGTAAAATGGATGCTGTCCAGGAGGTGGGAGGGTCTGGGAGAGAGGGTCTGCTGCTGATTGGCTGGAATGTGACTGCTGACTGTGAGGTACAGGGTCAAAGTTTACTCAATGATGACGAATAGGGGGCGGACCGAACAGCACATTTGTTCGCCATCCATGGCAAATGCGAACAAGCGATGTTCGCCAGGAACTATTCACCAACCGTTCGGGACATCACTACTGAACATATTTAAGTGAATTATATGTAGATAACAAATTTGTGAACTAAATTATAAAAATGAGGGGATATCAA